ATGAAGTTTCTATAAGGCTTAGGTTTTATGAAAACAAAATAAAACCTCGTCTTAAATTCTCGTCCAAAAAATACTTTTGGCAACGCAAATTGATCTAAAATAAATTTTCAACACCAACAAAATTTGAAACCTTCAAATCCTAATTTTTTTCCACAATCATAGCGCTCAAATGATCCATGTAAAGGTTTTCCAATACTTGAATTGTACTTTTTGATGAGTTATGAGATGAGGCTTCACTTAGTTTGATAAAGCTGCAGCCCTATCAAACTGTTTTCCAAAAATAAAAATGCATTCCAGCAAGAAATCCAAAACTATCCTAAACAAAAGCCATATAAAACCAAACACATATTACTTTTTACTTGAGAATTCTCCAAACTCCATTCTACTCATATATATATTTACTTAAACATAACAAGAAAGAAAGATCAAAAAGAATAGAGAAACTGAACTCACCCGGCCATCCATGGATCACCTTGTCGCGAGGTATAAGCTCATGGTGATCACTATATTCATACTATGCTCCATCAATCATATTGTAGCAAAGATTGAGATTCAAATTACAAACAGGCTTGGAGGAGAGAGGAGCCTAAACCTCCACTGCCAGTCTAAAGATGACGATCTTGGGAAGCAAACCCTCAAGGAGGGCAACTCTTTTCGCTTCGAATTCTCACCAAATTTTTTTGGGGGTACACTTTTCTATTGTGATATGGAGTGGGAAAGAGTTTCTAAGTTCTCTTTCGACGCATATTCGGAAGAGAGAGATGTGGACCAATGTCGGAGCAAATGCATGTGGTTAGTTGCAGAAGAAGGGATCTATCGATGGAGTGATCGCAATGGATTCTGGGCGTTCATGTTTTTCTGGCCCAGTTAAACTAGCACAAAAGTACATGAGCATAATGGCCACTTGATTTTAAGAAAGCCATTGGATTTGTGAGATCTAAGGTTTTATAGAATAAATTTTAAGTGAATTATTTGGTTCTCTCTCCATTTCTTTCTCCCTTTTCATTGACTTTTTTTAAGATTAATTCAGTGAAAGTTATTCAACAGAGAAGAGAAAGAGATGTGGTTTAATTTGTTGGAGACCACAATAAACTTCATTGCTTAATGAGTCGGTTGAATCCTACCGCTGTATTACCCAAAAAAGCAAAATATGCATTGAACTTGGTTTGAAAGATGAAATTGGTCAGATGACAGCAAAAATTTGGCTGTAATTTGGATTTTCCAGCTAAAATGTGGACCAAATTAGGGAACACAAACCTATTTTACGCAGGTTTATTATGTGTTGTATGTTTGGGCACATTTCGCCATTTCATTCCAAATTTTGGAACTAATTTCCTCCGTCACTTCCCTATATTTGACAGATGATGACACATGAGATTTTGGTTTCTTTCTATTTTATATGGTCCATTGAACTACGGAGCCGGTTTGTATGCAGCCAAGGCTCTAAACAATTTAAGTAAAACTCAAATAGTATCGAGAAATGTGGTTTCATCATTGAAAATTTTTGTGATGCCCTTAAAATATATTTTTATTTTTAATTATAAAATTTAAAGCTTAAAAAATAATGTAAATCGAGCATATTTATGAAAACTTGAAAATATTGAAAATTGACGGTCTAAAAATATGTTACAAGATACACCATTACCAAAACTTGAAATCTATTTTTTTCCTCATATCGATACATCTTGATGTTGAGACGATCAATTTGAGAAAAAAAATGGATTTCAAGTTTTGAAAATAGTGAATCTTGTAATGGATTTTTAGATCGTCAATTTTTAAGATTTTCAAATTTTCATAGATCGGCTCGATCGACACTATTTTTTAAGATCGAAATTTTATAATTAGAGATGAAAATATATTTTAAGGCTATCACAAAGATTTTCAGTATTGAAACTGCATTTTTCGATACCATTTGAAGGTGCGCTTTACTTAGATTGTTTAAAACCTCAGCTCTAGACAAACCACACCCTTTTTTCTATTATTATTTCTTTTTCCTAACATGCGTTAGTTGAAATTTTGAATATCCAAACCAAAACTATTGAGTAATTGGTTTGGAAGCTGAAATTGCAAATCAGTATCTTGCAAATCAATCGCTTTGGATTTTGAAATTTTGAACGGTTGTATTTGAATTTTTGGGTTCGGAATTTCAAAATCCCAACCCACCCTCTCGCCTATAAGAGTGTTAAAACTTAAAAGGGAACTTGCATGGTGAGAGGGTGGTTCCGATCTTGAAATTCCAAACCCAAAATTCAAATAAATAAGTTCGAAACTTCAAAATCCGAACCTATTTTTGGTTTAGATATTGAAATTTTGAATTAATGGTTCATTTTATAGCAAAATGTGAACTAAGACTCGAAATTTGTTCTTCAAACCTCTAAGGTCATTGTTGAATTTCGACTTGCAAGATTCGAAATCAAGACTTGTTGAGATGGCTTAAAACCTTGAAGGCTTTAAGTAATTTGAAAATAAAATGAACTTTTTAGAAAGATTACAAATAACCCCAACATTATATGCATGTTACCCTCAATTAAACTTTTTTTTTCACTTTTTTTTCAAAATACATTTTTTTTAAAAATACCCTCCCAAATAAATAAATATATATTTTTTTATGAAAATACCCTTTTTCATACATAAAAAATTAATTTTGGTCGGATATTCACGTAGGAGTACATGGACTGTCGGACCCCATTAAACTAAAAGAAGTGTTGGACCACTCTTTGACATCGTCGAACTGCATGGGCATGTTGCCAGACCGCATGGGCCTATTGTCGGACCGTTCTTTATCACTGTCGAACCGCCACTTATACTGCACTGATATTTATTGGACCGACATTACACTGTCAAACTGCCCTAAGCGTACGTTGTACTGCCTTTTTATATGAAAGAAGAGAGAGGCATCGGTAAAAGTAAAAAAGGGTAATTTAGATACTCTTTTTTTGAGAGAGATATTTGCCAAAAAAAAATTATATTTTGGTATAAAAAATAAGAAAAAAAAATTGGTTGGGGATAATTTACATAAAAAGCCTAATATTGGGGTTCCTACATACCATCCTTTTAAAATCGCACCCTAGACCCAAAGCTAGTTTTTCTTATATGTAGGCGCCCAGTCAAATAGTCTAAACTCAAATTAAGACTATAATGCCATTTTTCTCTCCACCTCTCTCTCCCGCCTTCTCTCTCTCACTCCGTTAACGACTCTACCCGCCATCTCTCTACTTCCTGTCTGCCCTCTCTCATTAGCAAATTGATTTCACTCTCTTCTTCCGGTGTGTTACCCCACCCATGAGGGAGAAAGACAACCCATAAAATCTCACACCCCAACTTCACAAAAGGCTGAGGAAGAGAAATCCAATGCCCTCATTGAAGTTGAAGAGAGCTCGAGATCCTCTAATGGCAAAAACAGGCTATTCCCCTGCCTCTTTTGCACACCCAAAATCAAAAGCAGTGAAAGAGGGAGAAATTTCGCTTGAAATCCAAGAACTGTAAGAGAGAGAAATACCAGTTTAGAGGGAAGTAGAGAAACCCATTTTGAGATAGAGAGAGAGAGAGCCACTTGTAAGGGGAGAAGACCCACTTGGGCATAGAGAGGGAAATAGAGGTAAAGATATAGAGAGAGAGAGAGAGCTACTTTTAGGCAAAGAGGTAAAATGACATTAAGAGAAAGAGATCTATACACTTAGAGAGAGATTTTGCATAAGTTCTCTAATTAGATTTTGCATAGGTTCTCGTACAGTCAAGCTGTCTTTATACTCCATGAGCTTTTAGGCCATGCTCTAAATGAAATTTCTTATATGATTAATCAATATTTTGCGATAGAAATGGAAAAATGCCCTGCAAACTGATACATGGGATGGAGACAAGCACACGCTTCTGAGATTCTGCTTCAGAACAATGTAGTGATTGGGAGAGAGATTTCGTGAGAGAGCAGAAGCACAGTTTTGCTGAGAGAGATTGGGGTGATGTGAGAGAAAGAGATTGAAAGATTTGGCGGAGAGAGGGAGATGGGAGATCTTTGATATTTTTTAGAGAGAGAGAGAGTTTCCTTAAAAATAGAGAGCGGGTGAGATTTTGTCATTTCCATAGACAGAGAGTTCGGGTAAAGAGAGGATATGCTGTGAAAACCCCAAATTATAAAATATAATATAGAGGAAGGTATTGAAAAGGGCATTTTAGTTTCAATTTTAGTGGATTATTTGACTACGGGTAAATATGAAAAAAATTAGTGTTGGGATTTAGGATATAATATTAAAAGTATCGGAGGATAAAATGTCTAAAAATTTCATTTTGAAGTGGCTAATTTGACTTTTGGCCAATGAAGGTCCAAATCCAAACCTCGTCGATTCTAGATCTTCAAGTCATTTCAAAGAACTTGACTTCAGACTATAAAAGTCCGAAATCACAATAAAAAAAACTTGACTCTAAAATCACAATAAATGATTGTTTGAAACTTCAATCCAAAGTCACTTACAGAGAATTTTGAGAAGAAAATGAAAAAAAATAACTAAGATATAAACGTTAGAAACAAGAATTTTGGGAGGACTTTCTTAATATCACCATTTCAAAGGGATATGAGCCCATCTTTTTATTTTTAGTTTATTATTATTATTATTATTATTATTATTATTATTATTATTATTATTATTATTTATGATTACTACTATTTATGATCTCCTTGTAACAAAGAATAAAAGTCTCTATTACTACCATTTATTATTACTACTATTTATGAACTCCTTGTAACAAGGAATAAAAGTCTCATAGTATACCATATTATTATTAGGGATTGCATATATCACAGCACAAAAATGCAACGAGTATGGCTATGGTCACGACTACTGCTGCTGAGTTGATTGAGAGAGAATGAAAGTAGGTGTATGAACTAGACCCTAGCATACGTTTCTTTTTCATTTGTTTTAGTTTTTAACATTTGAGAGATGATTAGATGACGATTAGAAACAAGCTTAAAACACCAGGGATCATAAAAAAAAAGGCCGAAACACTCCAACACTTCTTAGTATTCATATAAACTTCTCAGCAAACATCAAAACAAAAACAAAATCTATCCTTCTCCTGTTCTATCAAAAAACAGAAAAGATAACAGAAGTCCTTATACTTGTAAGCCTTGAATTATTATCATTCATTTAAACCTTAAAACTCGAAGAAAGGATACTCCAACTAATTCTTCTGGTTTTCTCTGATAGATTTAGCCTCCTCAACTCTCTGCATGTTTCTCAGGTTAGCGAACATGCGGTTCAGGCTCGATAGTTTATGCGATTGTTGAGCAATTACATTGGCAGTGGAGGGGCTCTCAGCCATTATAACGTCATAACCATCTCTAAAATTATCCATATCTTTATCTAAAAGCTGCCAAAATAAACCACCAGCACCAGCTCCACCGCTCCTAGCTGATGTATAAATGCTATTATATACTGTTGCAAATAATGTATCCCTAAGGCCTGGAGTGTAGCCCTGGGTCTTGGAGGACTTTCCAAATTCAGTGAAAAGCATAGGCTTTTTGAGCACTGTGTTTGAGTCTTCTATGTGGGCTTGGACCCAGCTTTGGAGGAAAGAGAGCTGGGCTTGGTCACTGGAGCCAGGTATCCTGCAAGAGAGGAAAGTGACCAAGAATTGCAATTTAGGTTTCTAGAGTTAGAGAAGAGGAGGGGGGGAAGCGAAAGAGAATGGAGACCATGTAAATTCACTGTAAATTTATGGTACCATTGATCAGGGTATGCATGGATTGTAGCGAAATCGATGCCGGGAATCTGATTGTTGAAGATGAAGTCAGTGCCCACTTTGTAGCCAGGGTTGAATTGCTGCCTTTGAGGAGATGAGTCTCCATAATATCCTTCCAAACCTGCTTCTAGTAGATGGCTGCTATCCAGGCTCTTAACATGAGCAGCCATTTCTGTGATCCATTCCTGTATAGAGAGAGAGAGAGAGAGAGGAGAATTGTAATGATACTTCTCACAATTGATGGGTGACTAGATAGATAACAGAGAGAAAGGTATGATCTTCTGTTGTAGCATGTTATGATATCCAAACTAGTGCGCAAATAATAGAACATATTGGCATTTAGTGGTCTAGGATTACAATTTGGGCCAAAAATATGGGTTTCTTCATAAATTAAGCTCAATTACCGGGGCCTGTTACTCGGCTTGGACTCATTCGAGTAAATCGCCTCTTCCAAGGCCCGAATACGAGGCGATTGTTTGAACACTGATTACCTCCACTGGCAAATTAATGGATATATTACAGCACTTACCCAAAATAATATATGGGCATGTAACTTGGCCAATAAATTGAGAGAGAGAGAGAACCTGCACGGGTCTTCCAGATAGATCAGTTTGGCAGCGAGGTTCGTTCATGAGCTCCCACGCAAAAATTGTGGGGTCGTCCTTATATGCCACACCACTCATACTATTCACCCTAGAAATAACACTCTGCAACAAACGGAAAATACTAAAGAATTAACAAAATCACTCTCTTCAAGAAACCATGAGAAAAAAAAAGAAAGAAAGCAAATTGATGTTTTCACAAATGATTTCAAATACCAGGAGTTAGAAACAGAGTAACAGAAAACCAAAGTGTAAGAGAAATGAATTAATGAGCCAAAAATAAGAGACTGAGAGAAAAATAGATTGACAAAAAAGGAGAGAACCATAATACAAAAAAGGAGGATTCACATTTTACAAAGCGAAGACAGCTCCTGTTTCATTCTCTGCAGATGCATGCAGGGGATTTCAACTAGAGAGAGAGAGGCTACATTGGATTATTTCAATCATTTCCAGCAACAATTACCTGTTTCATCCTCTGCAGATGCATGCAAGGACTTTCAACTAGATAGAGAGATTCGCATTACCTTAACATGGTTCTTGTAGTAACCTTTAACAACAGGGTTTGTGTAAAAATCATCGTCAGAGTTCAAAGACTGGCCCTGGTTCCCGGCCCACTGCACATACTGAGGCCTTCCTCCAAGGTCTTTGTAGTTGTTCACAAAACTCAATATCAAACGTACGCCATATCTCCTAGCCTCTGAAATCACAAAATCCAGCCCCTGCCACAAAATCCACATCTCATCAAGCTCAAAAAAAAAAAAAGCAACAAATACGAGCAATTTTCCATGAATATCGTGTTAACGTGCAGAAATATGGGACTTGTTGATTAAAATTTACATTGAACATATCTTCATTATATGAACCAGGAGAAATTTGCAGAGGCCTGTAACCTCCATCACTGAAAGCCCAAGTTCTTGCTACAGTTAAGCCATAGCTTGAAGCTTGTTGAAAAACAGAGGTTACTTTACCCCTGGTTGACGGGTCAGAGGCCATTTGCATCAACCAGTAAGCATTGAACCCATTAACATAGAAAGGGGAACCATTAACAATGAAATGGATTCCTTTGGTTTTCACAAAACCACTTTGAGCTAGAGCAAGGTTTACTTGGTTTTGGAATACCAGGAAAGCGAGGGAAACAACACAAATAAGCTTGTGTTCAGTGAGCCTGAACATTTTGATTCCTTAGAATACAAAACCCTTTTGGTATAAACTCAAAAAACAGAAAGAGGTTTGATGAATGGCCTGGTTTTGAGAATGTGGGTATCGGTTTTCTATTCAGTAGTGAGGCAGCATTTGATTCAAATTGATATCACAAAACCGAAGTGGGAACTGATTCTCTCTCTAACTTCAAAAGGATTAACAGATTATGAAAGAAAGAGTCGGAAACGGCTATGTAGAGAGAGAAAGACGAAAGGAGACAGTTACTCAGGCCTTTGGATGTGATGAACGGTCTCTGCAAATGGGAACATTATATAGAGAGAAAAAGACTGCTACGGACCTGGGACTACCCGCTTTTCCCTGCAGGATTTCGTGCATTAAATGAAATAGCCATGAAAAGCAGAGAGGCAGAGCTTGAGATGCTGCATTTTAGAGAGAGCACCGAAAAAATGCAGAGAAATGTGGATCAAAGAGTAAGGAGAGAAGATGGGTGATGCTCCATTTCTGAGAATTCAGTTGGGGTTTTTTGAGTTTTTCTGATCCTGGATTCCTGTTGAGCAGTTAATTTGCAACATCATCATTATCATCACAGTTCATAAACTGACACCACCTTTTCCTCTTTTCTTCTCATTTTTTTTCTTTTTCAGGCTTCTGGCTTCTGTTTTCACATTAATTTTCTTTTATTTTGGAAATTTTCATAGCAAGAATCAATTAATTTTCCTCTGTTCTTGGGGTTTTTTACTGGTAATTAGATCCTTTTATTGGAGGAGAAAATAAATGTAGGAAGAGGACGATAACCAAGTGGCCTTAAAACCGGGGAAACGAAAAAGAAAAAAGAAAAAGCAGCGAATTAAGGACGATGGGTCTGAAGAAGTTTTCTTTTCCAACTTTATTTTTGGGGCAACATTATTTTGTGTAGTAATGGCCCAAGAGGGTCCCATCTCAGACTCTCCCAACAGTTAACGTTGTTATTTTCCAACCTTAATAATCTCCTCCTCCTATTTCTCTCTTTCTTTCTTTTTACTCCTATGGGTTTGGGGTTTGTGGTGAGGGCATGTACTATGCTCCTAAGGATGGCAATTGACCCGGACCCAATATGAGATTGAAGGGATAGAGGATGGCAATTGACCCGGACCCAATATGAGATTGAAGGGATAGACCTGATGGGTATGGGTCTAAAAATTGGACCCAACAGATCGGGTCTGGGTCTAAATCTTGGACCCAAACACTATTCAGATCTGAATCCAGGTCCGGTCAGGTTCAGGTATAGTAATATTTTTTGGGTCCCAATATATAAAATATATTTAAATGTAGCTAAATACATAGATATTTTAATTTTTGGGTCTGGGTTTGGGTCCGGGTCCCAGACTATATTTTCAAGTTTAGGTCTAGGTCCGGTGATTTTGGGTCTAGGTTCAGTGACTTTGGATCTGAGTCTGAGCCCGGGTTTGGGTCCCATACCATTTTTCCACCCCTATATGTTTCCTTGGTAACATAGTTTATTTCTACTCCCTTGATCTAAAGGTCTATTTGGAATGATTTTTTAATGTGTAGTTTTAGAAACTAATTAAAAATTATTTGTTGATTATTCTCAAAAAAAAGAATTTGAAAATTTAAGTTTTTCAGCACTCAAGATCTCACCATCTAAAAATTAAATGATCATTTTTAAGTCTTGAGACATAATTTTTTTGAAATGTATAGAGGGTAGAATTAGGGAATCCTTTTTGTTAAGATTAATTACATCCCAAAATTTGGAGTCCTATAATAATTCTAAGTGGGTTCTTACCGAGGGAGTAAATGAACATTCTACTCCTGAGGGAGTAGAACATCTTGTGGCTAAGTAGTTATAACACATTCCATGTAAAACAGAATTAAGAGCGCGAATGACGTCTTTTGGTAAGAATTAATGAAGTCATATGTAAACCACCTCTGCCGTTACCTGAGAAATTGACGAAAATGCCACCTCTCCCGTTGCCTCTTAATAGTCAGTCGCAGCAAGGGCATTCAAGTCAATTTAGGTGAGATTTGTCGAATTATGCCGATCTCAATGGTTGGAGAACTTCAATTGGCTGAAAATCGGCGAATTGCAGTCCAAATTTTAGAAAGAAAATTCACAGTTCACTTGATTAATGACAAATAAACAAAAACCCAAAACAAAACAAAACAAAAAACTGGACTCGTACTCGGGCTGCCCATCCATGTAACTCGGGTGAGCCCAGTGGACTCCTACAAGACCAAAAAGGATTAAAAGATTTAATAAAAATACAAAAACAAATTAAGACTAAAAAAATCAGTCAATAACAAGCTAAACAAGAATCAACACTCAAAGTCTAAAAATGGTTTTAAGAATATTTATAACAGGTAGAATTTGGATAAAATTGATTTAGGGCCCAAGAAAAATTTAGAAAAATCTAAAAACGAAAAATAGAAAAATAGGCTTGTAACAAGAAAAGTCCCAAATCATCATAAAAAATGAAATTTATATAGAGCCATATTTATCACTGATTTGGTACAAACTACAATTTTCTTTGGAAAAGGTTTATATAAGGTTGCAACCTTGAAATGTAGAACTAAGGTGCACCTAAAAATCCATCATAAAAAGCTATTCTGAAGCTAGAAAACTCTATAATTGATTATCTCAATATCAAATGTATGAATATGCAGAAAAAAATATATATATATATATATTTCGAGTAAAAATCTAGTACACCTTGTAACACACTATTTAGACCATCTATTCTCAATATTTTCATGTGTTTATAGATCTACTTGATTTAGTCTAAAATTTTAAAATTAGATATAAAAATGGATTCTCAGCCATCCTAAGAATTATTAACACCAAAAATTACATCTTAAGATAAAATTTGATTCTCACTTTGATTTTCTAAGGATGCAGACTTATTCAAACCACACCCATTTTCTTTTTATGATTTTACTATACTCCTTATTTTCTTCTTGTTTCTCAGAATTGACTCCTTTAGTCCTTTTACAGGCCACCAAATAAACTAGAATTGATACATAGCCAGTCTAACCAGTCCCAACCAACTACACAACAAATTCAATGTGTATGATCTAAGAGGAATGCCTTTTTCTTTTCTATTTTGCAGTTAGTGTTTAGAGAAGTAAGATTGTAGGCACTGGGCAGGCAGTAGGGGACCAGGGTGCTCTCAGGACTGGTCTTGGGGTTGGGATGGGCCAAGCACTGGCCCATGAAATGTTATGAAAAAGCCTATTAGTGTGTTCAAGTCGCCACTCAACTAATATCGGTTTGAGGAACGTTACAGTTTACACATTGATGTTCACTAATCGGCCATCCATCATCCGATTGTAACAATGAGTGGTGCAAATGAGCCGCAGTTTTCTGGCAGATTTAAAAACCGAATAATAACTCGAGATGGCCAATGGACATCAAATCTATTTATTGGTTGGAATCATTCAGATCAGCGTTTTAAAACTTTGATCGTTAGGATGGACCGGCCCTCTACTGGACTGATCCAGATCTGTCAAATTGGCTATGCCACCAAAAACAAGAGAAAAAAGAAAAAAAGTTGCATGAATTATAGGGAATTCGTTTGTTTGATGATTTAAATTTTAAATCACCAAAAGACAAAGCATATTAAACATGGAGGCGCATTCCTGATTCAATGCCTGATCCCCACTACTTCAAACAGAATCAACAGAAATGAAAGTAAATTGATTACCAAAATACATTTCCAAATATTTTTTCAGTATCCTAGTTTTTCAATGATTGAACATAACAAGCATATGAATAATCTTATGTGTCTGGAAGAAATCACTAAAATGCAAGAGTTCTTCTCTCTTAGAAATTGTTAACAAAACAACAAGATATTCCTTTTTCCCTTCCAAGAGAATAAAAACTTAAACAAATAGCTGATATATTCAAGGTAATTAAGTATTTCCAAAATACCATATCAATTGATCCGATCACAAAGTTCCCATTTTTCAATGAGAAACCGACTATTGATAGCTCCAGTAAGATTAACATTTCATTCTTGAAAAAAAAAAAACAATTCCACCATTTATCTGTATGAAAGGGGAGTAGGGGACACATGTTACAACCTTCATTATGAATTAGAATAAAAATTTTAAGAGGGACAAATTTTATATAAGACCACACCTTATACTAGAAGTACAATGCCTTTCAAAAATCTAGTAGAAAAGAGTATATTCTAATGTTGAAAAACCTTCCAATTGATCATCTCGGCTGTGAGACGTGACATGAAAAAAACTAAAATTTCAAGTCCTAAAAATAGTGCTTCTTTTAACAAGTTATTTAGACCGTCTAATTTCAAGATTTTCAAGTATTTATAAAATTGTTCGATTGTATGATTTTTGAAATTTTAATTTTCATAATTAAGGATAAAGCTAGGTTTTTAAACCGTCATAAGATTCTCAAAATCAAAACTACATCTCCAAACAAAGTTTAGAGATGCCTTATTACTTCTACAAGAGTTACTTCTAGAATATAAGGAGGGTGCTTTATACAAAGGAGGGTGCTTTATACAAAAACCCCACTTCCTAGAGGAACATCCCGTACATTAACTTAGTCACGTGTACTCAACACAATAAACCCTTTTTCTTTTCTTTTTTTTTTCTCTTTTTTTTTTTTGGTAATTTAGTGCGGAAGATAGACCCCTACCCATTTTTTCAAATAGTTTAGAAATTAGTTTTTTGAAAGTGCTAATGAAGTGATGTCAGTAGGAATGTAACACACTTGCTTAAATATGATTGCTCATTCACGACGTGGGAAAATTTACTTGCGCTAATGGGTTTACAGAATTTACACTTAATTACTATATTCTCGCCTCTCTCATTAAAAACAAAACATTATTTTAGGAGAGCGCATATTATACTCGTTGGGGACACTATTCTATATCTACTACCCCGGCCAAAAGACTTACTTGAGAGGGTTAGTTTGGTCTGAATTTGGGAGCCACCTAACAATTACTAGATGATTATTTTCAAAAGAAAAATTTTTGAAGTGTGAATTTATTAGTATTTTTTATTTATTTATTAAAATTAGTCTATGGGTTGAAAAGATTATATCCCAAAATTTGAGGTGCTAAAATTGGTCCTATATTAGGTTTCAATAAAGAGAGTAAATGGATAGCATACTCCTACAAAAGTATAAAATCTTTTGGCTTTTTTTAGTCATAATTAAGATTGGAAATTGTAGAAATGGTAGATAAAGGAAGGTGGAACAAACACCTTGTTGATCTTGTGAAACAAACACCTCGTTGGGCATTTAATGGAAGCCAAAACTCTGAAGGAAAAAAGTTCATATAAGAAGCTAACTTTATACTGTAGAAGTAAGGTGCTTCTGGAAAAATCTACTAAAGAAAGTTGTTCCCACGTTGGAAAACCCTTGAACAACACCCTTGGAAAATCGACCTCCATATTCATAGGTATGAAAAAATAAAAAGGCATTTGAAGCCCTAAATATAGTTTATCTTCTAACACTTCATCAGCACCACTGTCTATTTTCAAGAATTTTTAAATTTTATAAAAAAGGTTGCTCCCACGTTGGAAACCCTTGAACAAAACCCTTGGAAAATTGACCTCCACATTCATAGGTATGAATAAAATAAAAAGGCATTTGAAGCCCTAAATATGGTTCATCTTCTGGCTCTTCATCAGCACCACCGTCTATTTTCAAGAATTTTTAAATTTGATAAAGAAGGTTGTTCCCACGTTGGAAGCCCTTGAACAAAACCCTTGGAAAATCGACCTCCACATTCATAGGTATGAATAAAATAAAAAGGCATTTGAAGCCCTATATATAGTTCATCTTCTAACACTTCATCAGCACTACCGTCTATTTTCTAGAATTTTTAAATTTTATAAATTTATTTTATCATCATATTTTTAGAACTTCAAATTACATATTTAGGAGTGGCAATAAATTTTCATGCCGACTTTCTCTAATAAAATGGGTCAAAAACATGTTAAATGATAGCCCTTAATTTGGTA